TCTCTTTATTGGGTGAAAGAACCGTCAGTTTAATCCCAAGTCAGCTTTAACAAGTTTCTTTCTCTCCCGTTCATTTTTACAGTGACGAACACATGCAGAGGAAAACTTTAATCCAGGTTTTTTTTTTCTTGGTTGTCCACCGGACAACTGGGAGGCAGGATCTGGTTGTCCAAAAACGAAAATAGGTTGTCTCGGACAAACGAAACAATGATTGCGTCAACCATTGTTTTACATTGATAAAAAATAATGTTCTGGTGAATAAAGCCCTCAGTTAGACTCGAGTCATTTGACCAATCACAGTCAAGAGATTTATCTTTACTGTGATTGGCCAAATGACTCACATTCCACCAAAGATCTTCTATTGTGAAGACAACCACTTTGTTTCTGAATCAGTCTGAGGGAATCTGTGCAAACSCCTCTAATAATTATTATTTTAAAGGCTTTACTGGAGCAAATCATTGAAAATACGACGACTCACCCTGTTTCTGAGAGGAATCCTGAAGGAGAGACTCTGTGGTTTCATCCAGAGCGATGTCCAGAGGAACRTCTCCGTCACAGTTCACTGCCGTCAGGGACGCGCCGTTCTCCAACAGGAACCTAAAAACCACAAACAACCTGAGAATTCTTCACTAAAAGCAGCTTAAATGAAGAAGTCCTGATTCTATCATTCAGTCATGTTATCTGTGTTTGTGCTAACAGATTCCAGCCCCGCGCTGAGGATAAAAGTCTAACAACAAACAAGAGTTCAGACAAGAAAAGAAGCAAATCCATGTTTTAATCTGAGTGCCGGGCCGCTCATGCTGCAGCAGACGTGTTATCTCACAAAGCACGACAACAATGTCAGTATTGTCGGGCGCAGAAAMCTTCTCGCTCCCACGCTCTGCGGTGACAAACCCATCCGGGATGATGTTACTCACTCTACGATGTCAGAGTGTCCGCAGGAAGAAGCCACGTGCAGCGGCGTCCAGCCCTCGCTGTCCACCTGGTTCACGGTGGCGCCGTGGTCCACGAGGAACATCACCATGTCCACGCTGCCGTCGATGCAGGCCTGAGCAGGACACAGGAACCCAACGGTTCTTTAGACGTTTACACTGAAACCCTGTTTGGACCTAGGTGACGGCGTGAAACTGCGTGAACCTGGTGCAGAGCCGTGATGCCGTCGGCGTTGGAGCAGTTGATGAGGTTCGCCATGTTCTCGCCGTTGATGGATCCGGTCCGCTCGGTCTCCTCCAGCATCGCCCTGACCTCCTCCGTGTCGCCGCTGGCGCAGGTAGCCAGAAACTCAGCAGCTCTGTCGAACCTCACCCTCTTCCTAAAAAATACAACCAGACCGGTAAAAATCAGCCAACGGATCGTTSCTGACCCATTTTACCCGCAGTGATGTCATCGATCAGGTCGGATCAATGACCCACGTTTCATTTTAAACTCTGCTTCAAACAGAAACTAAATAAATATATTTAGTTTCAGATYATTGACGAGCCTCATTAAGATCCAGTGGTCCTGGAGGACCACCAGGGTTTAGATGTTCCTCTGATCTGAATGAACGAGGGGTTAACTGGCTTCTGAAGAGCAGGAAGGCCTCTCATGCAGGACGGTGGTCTTCCAGGACCAGGGTTATAACCAGGGACAATGTAATCAAATCATCACAGCATGACTGAGATCAGCAGATATAAATAGTAATAATTCATCACTGCTCTGATTAATCTGTTCAGATAATCAGATTAAGATTATCTTTGAACTTCACTGATGAAAGAGCCAAAAACAAGACATGATCAGAATATTTCAAAGATCAGGAAGGTTCTCCAACAACATCTCAAACAAAGAGAAATCCAAGAATCATTCTTTAAAGGTAGTATTTTACTGGGTTGTTACCTGGTGCACAGGTAAACTCTCTGTTGCAGTCTGGATTAATTTGTGCATCAAATGAGTGCTGAGAAAACATCCATTTTCTTACAAAGCTCAGATTTAATCTACCAGATTGCACTTTGGCATTAGATTGGCAGATTTGGACCAGTTTTCTAAAAAACTGTGGGCCTTAGACCAGAACATGTGGACCTGTAGGCCTGAACGTTTTGTGATTTTATATTTTTTAGATGTACTTGTTTWTGGGGAGCTTCTCACACACTGAGACGTCCACCTCGAGGCAACGCTCAATGTAAACAAAGACTTTTAAAAACCAAACAGGTTGAATTAAGGCGACAGGACTCGTGCTGAAACTGGACCATGAAAAGGTTTATGCTCCTGTGAACAGATGCATCGATTCACATTGATAGACGATTAATGATTTAAGTAGATCAAAGCAAAAGAAAAACATTGATCCGTACATCATCATAGGCCTGACTGACAGATGGACATCAGAGATCACATCATATCAATCAGACATGTGAGACTTTCTGATAAACATCATACCATCCTTCAAACAAACTGATAGAATATAATTTCATGATAAACACACCTGTAGACCTTTCCCAGGTGTACCCCAGCTTTCACACTGACCTCAGGGAACAGGTACCAGCTCCCTATAAGAACCTTTGGAAGGTGAAATGGGTGGATATCACTAGTCCAATCTTTAAGTTTAGTTTATTATGCTCCAATGACTGATAAAGCTTTAAAAATATAAAAATTGTTCCTCTGTAAGCTCTGGTACTGGAACAGAAATGATGGTTCYTGTAAAAGAGGAGGTATGGCTGCTTGAAAGGGAATAAATAAATTGGGGTGAAGGTTTTGGTTCAGTGCAGGTTTTAGGTAAAAAAGGGTTAAACAATAAAAACCAGGCAGGTTAAAGGCGGCCTGTAAAGACGTGTTTGTGGGTTCATGATTAAAAACAACAAAAAGGTAACTTCTCCCCCACAGATCACAAACAGAGAAGTCAGGTCGGAAAACTTCCGCTTATAACAAATAATTATTCATTTAAAACTTTATACATCTTTTAGATCTTTGAGTCAAACAGTTGAGATGTTTCCTCACCGTCGTCGGAGGACGGGGCTGCTTCCATCTCTGCCCGCAGAACCCGGCCGCTCCGCCGGCTGCTCGCTCGGCTCGGCCCCGGCCTCGGCCGCTGCGTCGCCTCGCCGCCTCCGCCGGGGAACGTCGGACGCTTTGTCGGTGCAGGAGCCGGCCCAGCGCTTCAGCTGCTCCAGCCGCTTGGTCTTCGCCGTGTCCCCCATGAGTTCGTCGGCGGAGGACCGTGTTTTTAGGCCTAAAACGGACGCTGGCGGGCGAYAGACACACCCTCCATGTGTGTACTTTCGCTTCCTGGTTCCTGCTGCCGCCTCGGAGGGTGGCGGGCGGTGGGAGACTGGGGCGCGTATCCGCGAGCGGCGGGACCGCGCACGTGACGTCAAAACCGTAGCTGAGTGAAAGCCAGCCC